ATTGGTGACAATGAGTGGTCACTTCAGATACACTCAATGGGATCCACAACTCATTGTATCTCAGATCATAACCATTCAGGCGTTGTTTTACACGTCTTTAGGTGTATTGATATATATAAGCGATTGTATGACTGGACACTCACCACAACTCAACCACCTCTTCAACTATCAGGTGATACTCGCATCCAATCCATAGTCCATTCACTCATTCATTCACTTGTGTCTCAATGCAGGAGTTGAGTGTTAAGTCAGGCCACGGAAGACTCATCATATTATCATACTTTCTGAACGCACTGTTCGGGTAATCCATGGCTAAGATCTCAGTGTTTGTATTCATGTGAAGACTATATCGATGTCTGGTTTGTCCCTAAAAACAGAGCATTTGTTTTGTGGCATTTGGTTCAGAGGGCGAAGCCGTGTCTGGACTTCTCGGTCACCACTCATGTGATCCATTTGGTGATGTGTTGGCTATATTCGGGTCACTTTCCGTGGGGGATGTGGTGGTGGGCCGTCAACATCCTGTGCGTCACAATCACTTGCGTTTGCGGAGAGTTCTTGTGTCTCAAGACTGAACTCAAGTCCATTCCTCTGACACTCTCTCAACGAACCGAAGTTTAGACTCCTTTTTGTTTTAATCTCTTTTTGTTTTTCTCTTTTATGTATTTTTTGTAAATAATTTTTATTAACATTTGTTTTTTGTTTAATATTTATTAAAATTAGATTTAATTTCAATTTACAAACAATTCTATAATTACTTTACAAATGAGTTCACTCTAAAAGTTGAGTCCATGTGTCCATTGCTTATTGAAATCATNTTCTTTTATGTATTTTTTGTAAATAATTTTTATTAACATTTGTTTTTTGTTTAATATTTATTAAAATTAGATTTAATTTCAATTTACAAACAATTCTATAATTACTTTACAAATGAGTTCACTCTAAAAGTTGAGTCCATGTGTCCATTGCTTATTGAAATCATTTGTTAATTAATTTTGAGTTCAATTTTTATATTTGGTTAGAAAGCAATTTTTATATAAGACTAATAATTATCTTTTAAAATATGAAACAATTTAACAAACCATTATTGACTAGAAATGGCTTTCAAATGATTGGCACAACTAATGGTGTGTAAAATGTAAGTTAAAGTCAAATAATATATATATTTGTGAGCCTTTTTAATCCACTTTGAAAAACACGAACAAAACATTTGATATAATCCTCAGTCGAAATCCATTTACCGTATATTTACAGTACGGTAATATAATTTAGTTTACCCTAATAAGTAGTTCGCAAATATTAATATCAATCAAACAAATGAATGAATATACTTCACGATTATTGCATTACATTAATTTTGGGAAATTTTCTCATTTCACACAAGTTTTGGTTAGAATTGTTGTATAATACCGGTATGACTTTAATTCATTATTTCTACTTATGGTAAGCATTTTATTCAAACACTTATCATCGCTTTCAGTTAGTCTAAATACTTTGATTGCGTTCGAGAGACTATTCCTGAACTAATTTTTGTACTTTTTATAGATGATATAAAATACTGTATCTGTAATTGTGGTAACTGTATCAAATTCACGAGATTCAAATGATTTCTAAATGGTTTACTTATAAGTTGCAACTGTTTACGGTAGTAACTAAGACAACTACCGGTTGTAGTAATGGTAATAGAGATTCATGTATGGAATTTCGACTGAATTGAAATATTGAATATAAATGAAGTGTCAAATCAAAAGGTTAATGATTATAAAGTAGTAATAAATGTAATTAAAAACATTATATGAATAACTAATCGAATGCCGACTCTTCCACTTCATTATCTTCTTCAGGAATGGGATCTTCTAATAGATTAGAAGAAATAAAGTCTTGTTTCTCTCTTTCGAGTTGTACTAAAACCTAAATATTTTCAGTCGTTTTAAATACAGTAAATGAATATTTTTATCACAAATACCACAAAATAGACATTTGACTGAACTTGACTTAACTTAAATGTCAGGCAATTCGAGCACATAATCGAGGATTTGTTGAAATGATTTCAAATAATAATCTGATCAATTATAACAACTCAATCATAATTTGCATAAAAATCTTTCAAACAAAAACACATTAAATAAATGAGAAATTATATCAAATAATAAGAAAATCATATCATAATTGTAGTAAAACTAAAAATAAAATAAAATATCAATAATAAGTGAGAGGGAAAGGCAGTGAATATCACATTAAGTGCTGAACGGATGAGAAATTCATTCGTTTACCTCTTCAGTCAAGAGAGTGATCCGACCCTCGACTCTGGGTTCAAGTTTGCAGTATTCGTACTCAATGTTCTCAAAAGATGGGCATCGGGTGAGTGTGGACTTCCTTCCGTCCAAACTCATCACTTTCTTCATCTGACCCCTGAGTTGAGTGTTTTCATGTTTGGAGTGCGAGTCATGAAAACTCTGAGACATCGATCCCAAGTCCAGACTTCCGATGTCATGCATTTTGACAACTGATGTGCGCCGAGAAATACAGACCAGACTCTGCCTGTGATGGGTTCTCCTTGTCTTACTCGTCAGTATTTTAATCGACTCGAAATGGTTCTGAACGGATGTCACCATTTCAGGGCATTCGTCTTCATTCTGAAGTATTTGGCATTCCTTGAGGACATCGTATCCATCCTTTCCCTGACTTAGATATGCTTTAGTGACGAGTCTGTAGTTCTGCTCCAAATCGAGGTATTCGTCACCGATTTTTATGTATTTCGGATCAATCCGATTGCCGGCGGGTTTGGAGGGATTGAAAGCAAATTTAATTCCCGCGACCTGAGGAAACCGACCCTCCAGTCGAGGCCATTGAGACACACCGTTCTCAAGAGCCCTCCATATTTGATGTCCAGTGGCGCTGAGAACAATCAATGGGTCCATCATTGGCATAATTGTGACCAAATCTCGCAATTTGAAGGGACCTTTGCTATGAATTTGGTCACTCCTGAGGGTTCCGGAGTTGACAATCGCGAGGTCTGAGTGAGTGGAGGCCAGCATTATATCTGCCACTAAATTGCCTAAATTTGTTTCCTTAGTTCTTATGGCTGCGAACCTTCCGTCCAAATCACAGCTAATATGGCCTAAAATGCTATCCATTTTGCCTTCAATTACATCCGAATACTTCTCGAGTTCTGCTTTTAATGCCAAGTCTTCTTCGTAATCATAAGAATTGACATTAAATTCTTGCACTTGGATTTCAAACGTTTGTTCTTTGAATGTGATATCAATTCGACTGAATTGTCTAAAATCGGTACCACTTTTGACAATGTATTTGCCATTAACTATCTTTACTTCATAGTCGTGATCGTGTCCGCCAAGGATTAAATCGATTTCATCGACATTCTCTGCGAGTCGACAATCATTGGGGGTTCGCATGTGTGTCAATGCAATCACAAAATCTACGTTTTCCTATAGGTATTGAGTTTTATACGAAATTTATTTCAAATTAATTGTATTCTCATTACAAACTACAGTACAGTATAGCAATGAATGCAAACCTTTTCTTTGAGAAGTTTAGCCAATTTGCGGCCCTCAGAGACAAAGTCGAGATAAGTGACATCTTCGAGGGCCAGAGTGGCCAATGTTGCCAACCATTCCTCTTCTATTAAGCCTATTATTCCAAACTATAAGCAATACAATCAAGTGTTAGATAACAATAATAAGTGTTAATAAGAAATGCAAACATAAACCAAAACTAACTCTTTTGCCACATTTCTCGAGAATATGCCAAATCTTTCCGTCCCCTAACGGACGGTTCGTTTCGTTATCGAAGACATTACTCATAAGCCATGGAAATGATGTCTGACTTACAAACGATAATAGATTGTCGACTCCGAAGTCTGCAATCAATATATTCAAATCTTTCCGTCCCCTAACGGACGGTTCGTTTCGTTATCGAAGACATTACTCATAAGCCATGGAAATGATGTCTGACTTACAAACGATAATAGATTGTCGACTCCGAAGTCTGTAATCAATATATTTGTCAGTAATATCAGTGTAAATGTAAATCATATCAAGAATATCAAGAATATTCTTAATACAGAATTATTGCAGAATTACTGTTCTCTATGACAAACAATTGGTGATAATTAGACACTTAAGTGAAGACATACCGAACTCATGATTGCCATAAATGGCACAATCGATGCCCAGAGCTCTGACCACAGGAACCATTTGCTCGCCTTTCGTGAAAGTACTCACTGTTTGTGACAATCATTGAGAGAATGGTTAGTATTGATGAAGAGGTTGACATTGAATACAGACTGATGGAGGGGGCGATGATGTCTCCGCTGAAGAGAACCAATGGATTCAAGTGTTTGAATGTGTGGAAAGCGGTGACGAGACGGGCGGCCCCTCCGGACGGCTCTTCACTTCGGGGCTCAACGTTATAGCAGTCGTTGAAGTGAAGGATCGACACAACCATCGCTTCTTCCGTGTTGTTGTGGTTATTGTTTGTGATATTGTCATCAAATGAGTGCTCAATGGCTGGCATTTTGCAGTGAAATGTCAATTGAATTGCAGTTATAATAAGTGATACAAAAACACAATCAGTGAATGCAATGAAGGCATCGATGACTGAAAACAATCACAACTCAGACCACTGTTTGTGATCTCAAGTGAAGGACAAACACAACAAACACTGCAATACTCACAGACCTATGCATTCACTCTCATGTTATCGCTATAGACTGGCTCTCAATGTAACCCATTGTACGCACAAACCATACAACCATTGGACTCTCCGTTTGATACATTGAATGTCATATTCTGTATAACACTGACAACAAGTCATACAATCATATTCTGCACACAAATTCTGTTGGCATTTAATTATTGCAGTCTTACATAACAGTATACTATATACAGTATATACACACAAATATATTATTCTGATACAATTTAAATATTTCAATTATAATTTATATAACTTTTACTTTGGATTTGATTTTTTTCAAGAATCTATTGATGAGTTTATATGGAATAACCTTTTTATAGTAAATTTATTGAATAATGGTAAAATTGTGAGTTAACCACATCATAAAGATTTTGATATAACAGTAAACAATACAGTAATGTTGATTTACTACCTAATGAAATATAACGCACAAATAATGAACTTATAACCTTATATATATATATTATAGTCTACCTGTTTGTCTGTACTATTATTACTGCAGTAGTATTGACTGATTTTCCTGTTGACGAAAATCTTCCTTAAATTAGTTGTGATTTTATATCAAAAATACTATTTTTAAAAATAATTTAATTTCTATTTCAATCTATTTTTATTGTTATTAAGCTATTTATACTGTATTAATAATAATAATAATAATAATTTATTGATTCAAAGAATTTGTCGTTGAAATATACAGATACTGTATATGTATAAATACAGTATGACTTATTGTTTAACTGTAATTAACTTTATTTAATAATCAATATTTCTTGCATTTGTTGAGACAAGATAATCAAATGTTAAAAACCTTATTAATCATAAAATAATGTTTATACGCTTTTCCGTATGGGAAAAAAGCGTATACTGTAGTGCACTATGACCATTTAAGAAATGTTAATAATATTGAGAAATTTACTACAAATACATTGAATAATAAGAATAACTTTTATTATATTAAGTGACATTAACTAGAAAAGAGTATGTGTCCATTAACTTCAGTTATCCGCCTTGTTTAATTGTCAGATTTCAAAACAAATTAATTGTTTAGTTAATTCTGTAACTTTTATAAATAATAATATAACACTAATAACTTATTAGTAATAAGAAAAAATATGAACTTAATTTATCATATTTTATAAATTTAATTAAAGGCTAATAATTTAGTGGCTAATATGCTCTTTTGAACTTCAAAATATCATCAATATCATGCGTGTATTGGAAATCAATTAACATTTATAAGACTATTGCAATCATAAACTTTTCAACATTTTTAATATTGTTTAATATTGCTTTTAGTGACATTTATTTTGTGACATTACTGTATGTTTAAAAACTTTTGTATGATATTGATTTCAAATTGAAACCAATGTGTAAAACATTATAAAAGTTTTTAATGGGATACAATGGTGGTGTGTCACTCTACGGCGTGAATATAATTGTTGAGAAACCAAAGTACACAATATTATCTACAATTTAAATTAATTATATCTGGTTAACTCCATAAACTGTTTTAGTTAATTATTATATATTTCCTATGAATTCATATTCATGTATTTATAAATAATTGGCACATTGCTTAAAACCTTATGATTTTCGCAATGGAGAGTGTTTTAAATTGTAATTTTAAGATATTATGTTAATTTATATACAAAAATTACTATGCCACCAATGTTTAAAACTGGATTAACTAGAGCAGTTTATGGAGTTGGCCAGAATTAATTAATTTAAATTGTAGATAATATTGTGTACTTTGGTTTCTCAACAATTATATTCATGCCGCAGAGTGACACACCACCATGTACAGTTGTACAGTACAATACTGTATCCTATTTAGAGAATTAAATAAAAAACATCTCTAAATACTGATATATTTCTAACGGACAGTACTTGTTGAAATTGAAGTAATTGTACTTGTTGGTTTATATTAAAGATAATAATAAAATTAGTTTTATAAATATTGAATCTGAATAATAAAATTAAATTATTTATCACCTATTTAATAGGTCCTATTATATTATTAATTAAATTATTTATAAGTAACACTTTTATTATATTTTATATTTTAAAAGCTTTAGCAACTTAAAATCTTATTAATAGATTGACTTTCAATTATGACAACTAATAGTGTAAATTTACTAAAAAATTTTGAGAATATAATTGTTTGAGAGACAAAGAAAGATAGAAAGATGGGAAACATAAAGGAGAGAGAGAGAGAGAGAGAGAGAGAGAGAGAGAGAGTCGTGGAAGCGATTGGAAAGCGAGACAACAAATGTATGGATGAGTGGCAATAAAGAGTTGCAGCGATGGGATGAATCGGATNCGATTGGAAAGCGAAACAACAAATGTATGGATGAGTGGCAATAAAGAGTTGCAGCGATGGGATGAATCGGATGATCCCACAATGGGAGAGCTATGTAAACCGATCTAAAGAGATGGGTGTCGGAGTCAGACCTAAACCTAAATTTAGATTTTTATAAAATAGTTTATATTGTGCTGACGAGGAATGCGCCGAATCTGCACACAAGTGGTGTACAGTAATCACTGAAATTCTTGTCGAAAAGTTCTTCATTGAAAAGTCATTTTCTTGTAGTTTTTATTATTATTAAACTTTCCTATTATTTGTTATTAATTTTTAGAGTTATATCGAGTTTTTAAAATGTACGATTTTGGATGAGTTATTGAGTTGTTTGTAGAAATGTGTGCACATTATCGAAGTAATTGTGAAAATCAATTCTACACAAGAGATTTCTACTGAAGCCGATACAGACATAACTGTAAGGAAACGTCAAATCAAACCCAGAAAACGGATTCTGTGACAGAACTCGTCAAACCTGGTGTTGAGGGCGAGACTGAAGTGAAAGAATCAATTGAAACCACAGAAGACATCGAAATCAGTCCTGATATGACAAGTCAGGACAAACTCGATGTAAAAGCAGTCGATTCTGAAGCACTTCTGGAGACTACACCAGAGATTTCTACTGAAGCCGATACAGACATAACTGTAAGGAAACGTCAAATCAAACCCAAGAAAAAGGATTCTGTGACAGAACTCGTCAAACCTGGTGTCGAAGAAATTTAAGAAGAAAATTAAGACCAAAAAGCGCGACACAACCACAGAAGTGATCACTCCTGAAGGAGTGGAACAGATCGCTGTCGAAGAGACCGTAGAAGTTGTGTCAAATAAATAATTAAATAAATTAGGATCTGTTGATGGGTTTAACCAAAAAGCGCGACACAACCACAGAAGTGATCACTCCTGAAGGAGTGGAACAGATCGCTGTCGAAGAGACCGTAGAAGTCACTGAAAAGAAACCTCAAGAGGTCTCAAGTGATAAACTGGTTTCGACTTAATTTAAGACTTTTGTTGTAACTTTTGACTAAACTTTGTAACACTTCTATACTTATTGGATACACAGAATTAGCCCAAGAATTAGAGGTGGAAAGGGCTGACACGCCGTCATTGAGTTTGACGACTACCGAAACCTCTTCCTCTTGGATGAGAGCAAATGTGGAGCCAATGGTCTCTTTCTATACGAGACATACATTGATTGAAAGGAGGGAATACTCTCTTCAAGTGAATCCATTCAACAAATCTATTGTCATATTAATTATGAAATACTTTTTGGTTAAACCCATCAACAGATCCTAATTTATTTAATTATTTATTTGACTTTAAAGACATAATTATTAAACAAACTTCAATTAATTGATCCGGACTAATTTTAAGACTATCCGATAAATCATTATAATTATTATGAAACTATAAGCCTATTAACTATACACTTATTCTTATGTGTATTCTTCACATAACTTACTGTATTAACAAAAAAGTTTTGTTTTATTTTATTGTTATTATTTAAATATACAGATTATGTTATATTAACGTAATAATTAATTATAGTTATGTTTATTGTTAATAATTAATGGTTTATTCATAAATCAATAAAAATAATATATTTAGTAGTTAAATAAACAGCAATGTATTATAAATTAATTTTGGTAACAACTGTCAGTCGTTAATACCTGTGATTGCAGTGACTGACAGTGTTATCACTATTTTGGTCACATTTATTGCATTCAAACACCTCTTTATAGGACACCACAACAAACACACAAATGTATTACACATGTGTTATGAAATACTCAATACTAGGCTAAGACAGTCACTCAAGCATATTAGCCATCAATGGCATATACCCGACCATTGGGCAACATATTCAAGGTCTCCTCAACGGATAAACATCTTATAAACAAAGTAAATATTATTATAATGAGGTGCTAACTGACAAATCCAAAATCATCGAGCACAATTTATAATATATTCTATGGGGTAATGCATGTTCAATTTCATTGAATGATCATATTTGACACGGACGGACGTATTGGTGGTTTGCTGACCAGCCGTCTAACCGACTCTCTCCCCATTCAATGCATGGCTTCATTGATGCGATATATTAGGCATGAATTATGACGAATACAAAGACAACCCCTAAGCTATGCCTGGCATTGGATGTAATGATGAAAACAAAGCGTAATGTATGAGTGGATCACATAAACAAAGTAGAGGTAGTGTTGTAGTAGTGGTGAGTAGTGTTTGTTATTGTATAACCTCTACAGCACTGCAACAGTGAGTGACTGTGTTTGTAGACAAACCACACAAACGGCTATTGTTTTCAATGTTTTGGTTCAGTTTGTCCTCAATTCGTGTCGACGTATCACTCATTCATTCATTCATTGCTTACTATTGATTGCATTTACAGTCACTCACAGACACCACAAACACCACAAACACATCCAAACACATCCAGTCATTCATATCTCGCTATTTATTAGTTATTATTAGTTATTATTAGTTATACATTGAAATGGTTTTGTGATTATTTCATGAATTGTGATTGAATTGCATATAACGTCGGGATTAGTGTTTGGTTTGAGTGACTGTGCGGTGAAAGCAATGCCAGTGAGACGTATGAGTGAGTCGTTTGAATCGCTGCCAAACCAATGGTCCACCGAAAGGGACACCCATTTGAAGCCAATGGACACCAAATGCCACTCTTTGGCGGCCAATCAGTGCAACGCCGGCGACGACGAGTCACTCACCTATACGTCGGCTCTCAATGAGTCGGTGGTCGACGACTTGGTCTCCACTCTCACCACAAAGCTGTGCCTTAAGACTAACCATCGCTTGTGTCGTATGTCTCGTCTGAGTCCATACCAGAGCCACAACTCATCGGCCTATAGATCGCAACCCAATGGGAGTTGTGTTGGCGTGAACTGCAAGTACTTCGTGGACACCAAATGCAAGCCTCAGTCGCAGAGCCAACTCAAGAGGTCCTCCTCTATGAGCGATACCTACGAACTGATGCAACAGTTGCTCAAAGAGGGGTCTCTTATCAAGGAAGCCGTCAAACGACTCCAATTCGAGACACACGATAAGGTGGACCACAAGAAGTCACACCATTTGTATGACGAGTCCAGTGATCATCACTTCGACCAAAACGAGAATCAATTCAATCTATTGAACTCCAGTTAACCACTCATTGAGTGACCCATTAGTTCATTATTTATTGATTTGTTGCTTATATTTGCGTCCAGTTGTGCCCCCATTGCCCCCCTCTGCCCCCTTTCTGAGCATAACTTTTTACCACATTTTCTGTTGTTATTGCTATCGATAATAACCACTCATTTGACACATAATTCATCATTAAAAGTATAGCTTGTTTTCAAACATTTATTTAATTAATGATTTGAATGATGTGTTCAAATATATGTACAAATCTATTACATTATTATATTTAGACTATTCTTAGGATTAATAAATTGATATTTAACGAATTGTAATGTTATTTAAAATGTTATAATAAACATATGATATACTCTTAACACTAAACAATCGATTTGTAATTTGAGAAGCAATTGAATAAAAAGTAATTTTTTGTTTAGCTTTTTATTTGATCAAGTAATTATTATTTATTGCAAAGTACTGTACTATACAGCATTTATACAGTACTGTATAACTTATGGTTTTTATAAAAATATTGTTTGTTTTTAATTCAATTAACTTTGACTCAAATAAACAAATTAATTATCAAACGCCAAACACTTGCAAAAGGTATTGAGAGATAACACTGTTTTTAGTGATAAATAAGTTATACATTGAGTCTAATAAAGTGGAATTTTTATCATGTTTATTGTCGTATACTGTATTAATACTGGATATCATTTAAGTAAATCCCAATACTGGTGTTTAGTTATGATTATGATGTTATAGTTAAATATGGTAAATACAGTAAAATATATAAACAGTAATTATTAAAATAGAAAATTTTATTGAATTGAATGGACTGGAGCATTTTATTCAATTTTGTTCATATAGTTTAAAGCAAACTACAGTATAATCAATTCAAATGAATTGTGAGTTTATTTAAAAGTCCTTTTTCTTCTTCTTATTCCAATCATCATAAGAGGGCTTATGAGTGGTCCAGGAGGTCGCCGGCAGTTCTTTCTTTCGGTGGTCACTGCCGTCAGACTTTTTCTTCTTCTTCTCGTCTGAGGACTTTGAAGACTTTCCCGAATCGGCACCAGAAGTGCTGCCCTCCGAGTCCTTTGATGAGTCTTTTGACGATGTCTTTGAAGCCGAGTCCTTTCCATCGCCTGAAGAGTCTTTTGACGATGTCTTCGAAGCCGAGTCTTTGCCTGAGTTGGTATCCTTCCCGTCCTTCTCCTTCGATGAATCTTTTGGAGAGACCTTCGAAGTCGAGTCTTTGTCTTTGGAATCGGATTTTTTTTCATTGGATGAGTCATCTAAACCCAAATACTTTGCAGAATTGATCTGTTTTTCCGTGAATTTCGGATCCACACAACAAATCCGATTGACTTTGTGACAGATGGCACAGACGGGCACTACATGTACTGTGCCGTCGATTTCTAATCGAACTCTAACGGTCTGATCGGATTGTTTGTCAAAACTGGCCGAATAGGTATACCCCGGTCTGGCGTTCACCTCATTCTTTGTCTCCTTGTCTTCAGTTTTGGGAGGGCTCTCAGGATTTGCATTTCCTTCAGATTCACTCATATTTCAAATGATCACCAAATTTCTGTCTCTTATTGTCTACAAAATTGCCTTTAATTTGAGATTAATCTCAAAATAACGGTTAAATAATTTTAAACTATTCATTCATAACAATTAAATTAGTCTTCAATAAACAGTAGAAATTCTGATATAAAGAATTTAATAAAATATAAAAATATACAGTGTAACTTATTAATAAGTTATTATCAATAATAACCATTGGAGAACTTATTGTCTAAAAAACTTTAACAAATAAGAAATAAAGGCAATTATTTTTAAAACCTTTCATTTATTTGTATACAGTATACTGCAATATATCTGAATAGGGTATAATTCAATAAAATACAATATATTGAATAATCCGAATTATTAAAGCTAAACATTAAAAATATATAATATATATTATATTATCGATAATTATTATATTATAATATAGATATTATCGATATGTTTAAAAAATGGATTATTTTAAAAACTTTTGCTGAGGAAACTTGACGTCAACTTTTCTGCCCTCAGCCATAAGGGCTTCAATTTCAGCTACAGTTCGCGGGACATCAGTCAAGAGTTCCATTCCTGTCTCAGTGACCACGATATCGTCTTCTATTCGGATCTATAAATCATTTCAAGACATTCAGCAAATGAGAATCACTTCATGAGATGACTCACTCCTCCAAAGTTTCGGAATCTGTCGACGACTTCCCAAACAATGAATTTCGAGAGATTTGCATCATTTTTAGCTTTGTTGAGCTGAGCCTCAATAAAATAAATTCCCGGTTCTATAGTTAATACCATCCCTTTAATCAAGTTTCGAGAAGTCCGTAAACTACTGAGTCCTGGCTCTTGAGATCTGGGCGGACAGTCTTCTAAATAGCCGCCGACGTCGTGCACATCAATGCCTAACAGATGTCCCAATCCGTGCGGCATAAAAGTATAGCCCAATCTGGAGGCCATCATTTCATCGATGTCTCCCTTCAACAATCCATGTCTTATAAGTTCCTGGAGTTGTGTCTGTTCTGCGAGCAAATGCATGTCACGCCACGAGACGCCCGGCTTCACGGCTGACATCACTGCACGACTCGCTTTCAGAACTGATTCGTAGATTATTTTCTGGTCTGAAGTAAATCCTGGAGTTGTGTCTGTTCTGCGAGCAAATGCATGTCACGCCACGAGACGCCCGGCTTCACGGCTGACATCACTGCACGACTCGCTTTCAGAACTGATTCGTAGATTATTTTCTGGTCTGAAGTAAACTTGCCGTTTGAGGGGAACGAACACGTGATGTCCGATGAATAGCAGTAGTATTCACAGCCCATATCAAAGAGACACATTTCGCCGTCGCTAACGGTTTTATCATTAGGAGCGCCGGCGTGTCCGTAGTGAAGGGTCGCTCCATTCTCTCCTGAGCCGCAAATGCAAGTGTACGACATATTTCTCGCTCCGCCGTTATAATATGTATAGTGTCTGAAAATGGACTCCAATTGGTATTCAGTCATTCCGGGTCTGATTTGTCTCATCACTTCTTTGTGTCCTTCACTACTAATTCTGTTCGTATATCTCATTACTTCCAGTTCTGCGTCCGTCTTAACGACCCGACACTCACTTATCTCTTTATACAGCAATTTATTATCGACTTTAAACTTCCCGATGCCATCAAAGACTGCCTCTCGAGTTATCTTTTGGGAATCGCTGTTCACTCCTTGAAGTGTCAGAAGAAGGTCTGGTTTCAGACCTGCAATCACATCACATATCTGTCAATAAATTTTATTTAAAAAGGGAATTGAAATAAATTGTATTTGTTTTACTTGTGGAGTGAAATAGCATTCATCGACACCATAGATCTCTTTGAAGTCTTTAGTGGTGAGTAATTTTCCCATCCAAATGGCATACGATTCGGGCAGTTGTGGCACAAAAAGATAGGATTTCCCGGTATTCACATCAATAGCTCCGTAAGAGTCGGGCTCTTTCACGCCAAAAGTCCAGTGAAAGTATGACTCTTGACGGAAGACCGGCTGATCCACACGACAAGTATTAGTTAAACTGTCATACAATCAAAGCGTTGGTTATATTTACCTCCACATCAGTGCAGTACATATTCTGTGTCTCTCCTCCTTGTAATACAATCACTCCATTTGTTCCCAAATTTTTCTCTTTCAGACGATCCAGTAGTCGGCGCCGATTCTGACGGTGCAGTGAGGCGTCGATGGCCAGTGTATGGCAACCCATTTGGTACATACCTTTCCTATCAATCATATTATTCCCAAATTTATTTAATAGATATTCAATACAATCCTATCAAAGAGTGATCATTAAATGGTTATGTCTTACGTTTGTTGAGCCATTTGTTGGTTACAAATATAAGACACAAATATATTATAAAATGAATAATCACTTGCAATAAGACCTCAATTCATATATTAATAAATCATCAATTTTACTGTTATAACCAAATCAAGTATTTATTGTGAACACAATAAATGAGATTATATTGAGGTTAGAGGTGCTGTTGTGATAACATAAGAACCAATCACTTAATACTTCCATATCTCTTCTCAAATGTCATATTTTTGCTAAATATTGTGTCATTGATTTGACATTTGCTTAATACAGACAATATCTTAATGGTTGATGAATTGAGACTTAATTTGAATAAATGGTTAATATTTAGAATTAATTCTTTGGGTTATTTGATGGGTTATGCACTCAATGCAGACTTTATACATACATTCAATACACTCAACAATATTGTTGTTATTCTAATAGAACTTCTGTTAGAGAAGTGAATAACAAGTGATGACTACGTGAGACATACACTCGGATACACTTATCTGTGAGACATTCAATTAATTAATTGTCATCATTAATTGCTTTTATCATTCAAATCGTTTGCCTTTTGTATCACAATACTGTGAAATTGAAAAACAATTCAAACATTTATCACAACAAATCAATTGCTATTTTTTGATAGCAGAATCCATTTACCAATTTACTAGTACTGTATGCAAAGAATATAAGAAAAATTGGTTACATTTGAAAAATTGAAATAAAAGTTGAAATGATACACAAATAATAAATGCAATTTTAATCAAATTCAACAAACAAACTTAAGACTAACCAATGTCATTTACAGGTATAATTATTAAATATAAATATAAATACTTAAGAGAACATTATTACCGGTACAAGTTAACAAAATACTTAAATGAACATGCAAGAGTCGTTAATCTATTTAGATAGACTGTAGACTATGTTTTGATGAAATATATGACTTGTAATTATTTTAATTATGAATCAGTATTATTAAAGAATATTAGCCAATATGTTTTAGCTTATACGGTATAGTTTTCATTACATATATTAAGATTTGTATACAAATTATATAATAATGTATTGGTCCTTGATAATTGAAGTGCAGTCAGGAATTCCCTGACAGGACAGATACTGTACTAACATTTATGTAGCATCTGCCATAAGATGAATTTTAAAATCCCCTTAATATTTAGAGTCTAAATATTAGACAACACTAATGAATTCATAAGACTCACATGAAATATTACGTAACACAAATTAAAGTTTCAATCAATTATTGTAGGTTTTGCTTACCAGTAGGTTTACATTACATGTACAATCATTATTCTGTATGAAGTTCCGTGTGATTGAATAGCTGTATAAAGTTCTAGAACTTTCTTATACCTGTATACCGTACTATAAAGCGCAAAATTTAACATGCACAATTAATGTAACATCAACTAACTTTAATATTGTTAAAACTGTACTGTACAATGTTTACGCAGCAAAAAATAGATAAAATTAACAAATTGATATATAAAGTGTGCCATCTCATTTGTGTGCCCAACAAATATCACAAAAATCATTGCAATAAGTTTTAAATTTAGCGTAAATAAATGTTTTATTTTATTTAGTTGACAATACAATATTATCTAAAAACTAATCATAAGAAAATTGATTAAATTTGTAAACTATTTGCAAAATTAAACGCAATATTTGACAATTGAAATATCATTAATTGTAATTTAGATTAATAAAATTATTAACTAAACTTTATAAATAAATATTAAGATAACATGTTGTGTACATAAACATAGAAACTAAAGCAACAAAATTCGCAATTTTTGGATTTGAATCCAAAACACAATTCTTGTAAATCGAGTCCAGAATATGTTTAAGAATCATAAAATAATTAGCATTTTACTGATAATTACAACAATAACTAAAACATTCAATTAATGTCACAATTGGTTAACTTAAAAATGATTTGTGGGTATAAACTATAAGTAAATTATATAAACCTTGCAAACAATTAGACAGCAATCGACAAAATGTGTGAAAAATGGTTTTGAGGAATGTTTTCAATAAACAATTGTATAATTTGTTAAAAATATTTATTTCAAAGTCTTATCATTAGAAAGATAATAATTATAATAAATTCAATTTTTTAATTAAATCTAATCTAAATTTTGGTTTTATATACCGATTCATTAAACCTAATGACTGGCGCATTGAATACCTCCCGGCCCTCGACGGCCATCTTCTTCATCGCTGTCGTAGGCCTCACTGCGACCATTGCTGCGATCATTAGAGGGGTCGTAGTCGTGAAGGTCTACTTCTTCGGTGTGTTCGTCGTTGAGGTCGATCTCCATGGCGTCCAACCGTTGCGGGAGAATAGCCTCGAATTGTTTGAGTTGCGCCTCATTTATGAAATGGTTTTCAGGGAACTCCACATTGAATTTGATATAAAGGTTGCCCTTTTCAAACGGATTCCTATAAATAGGCATTCCTTCGCCTCTGATACCTTTGACGGCGCCGGGAACTATCACTTCTCCGGGTTTACTACGAATGAGAATATGTCTTCCGTCCAAATGCTTCAGACTATAAGCGAATCCACACAACGCTTCCGTCAAAGAGATAGTTAGCGGTAAATACAAGTCATTTCCGTTTCGCTGGAACTTCTCGTGAGTCTTCTGTTGGAGAATAATAATCACATCTCCGGTCTCCACGTCTGGCTGTTGATCGCCTTCGCCTCTAAACGTGATCTTCTGCTCGTCTCGCATGCCTTTGTCGACCTGTACTTCCAGTATTTTGGTCTCATTGGTCACACGCTTGCCATTACACGTACGGCACCGGTCTCTCTCGTTGATCACCTCTCCCTGAGCCCCGCAATCATCGCACGGCTTCTGCATTTGTTGAAGCATTCCGGGCCCTAATTGTCTCAAATGCACTTTCACTCCCTGACCCTTACAGCCCAAACACTTGACACGAGAGCCCGGTTTACCACCAACGCTGTCAACAGTCAGAAATGAGTTACAGTTAGTAAGCAGTCATTAGACATGATTACAAACACAAACCCATCGCATGCTTTGCAAAAGATATTTCGACTTAATTGCAGTTTAGATGTCTTTCCGTTATAGAGGTCTTCGAGCGATACTTTCAACGGATGGATCGTGTCTTCTCCTCGTC